GATGTTATGGATTACATTGATCTGTAATGAGAGCCAATGATGATATTTACAAATTTTCTGACACCTCATCTGAGCACTAGTTGCTGATATGCTCTATCTGAGGCTCTCCGGATATAAAAATGTTTCTAGATGTCTGTGTATAGAAGTCGTATCTGACATTTGTCAATCACAGCCGAGCCTCCCATCTAGTGCTACAGAGGTGTACTGTCCTGGAACTAGCACCACTTCTATTAGAATTGCTTCCAGCATAGGTTGGGGAGCTTAAGCAGTAAGGGGTAACAACTATTCTGGCAGGTTCCCTTTAATTACTGCTGTTGTGATCAGGCACTAGGATGCAGCCAGTCTTTTACACAATGCAGTCAATAGTCTATACTGGGAAGCTGGATTACCTCAGCCTGCTGCTTCGTCATTGTCTAGTCCACGGATAGCTAATCTCTGGCACTCCAGCTCTGATGAAATGACAAATCCCATGATGCATCTCTCTCCGTGAGTCATGGCTGTGAGAATCTTGCAATGCCTCATGGGATTTGTAGTTCCACCACAGCTGGAGGGGTGGAGTTTGGCTACCCATGGTCTAGTCCATTGCCTCGTGAAGTTGGTGTATAAGCTTAACTGCCTTAGATTAGTGACACCACATACTTTGCTGTGTTGTCTTAAAGGCGTTCCCACAGCAGCTGACCACTCACAGATCTTTGGACTCGTAGAGCAATGTCATGTAGGTGTATTTACCAGTATGCCTAGGGTTCCTGTCCCTGCAGGATTCTGTATTTAGCGTGGCTCTGGCTGCACCGCCATGTCATTCTCCTGATCTGTAGATGAAGACAGGTTCTCAATGGAGTGATTGTCACTGCACTATTACTTCCTCCACTTCCATAACAGGCTGGGGGAATAGTCCACGGGAACATGTGCACTGCACCATTGAAATTTATTTGGCCAAACATCTAATTGGTTGTAATATAAAGCTGTTTTTTAATTTGGAGCAAGCTTTGCAGTGCTGTAATTTAACTGGCTTGCTTTAAATTCACTTGCTGAAACTGTTGCATGACTGTTTGGTTCATTAACCAGTAAGATTGTTTAGAAACAGATGGTAATTGAGTTTTTGTTTATTTTTTTTCCTCCCAGGAGTCGAGCCAGGACATGTTAAGTAATTGTGGAACTGGCTACAGAATTTAACATAATGAAGGACCATTAACCAGCTGAAACTTGTCACCTAGGTACTCTAAAGGCAGCTATTTGATGGGCAAAGGTATTCATTTGCTAGATCAGCTCACAGTACACCCGATCAGCCATGACATTATGACCACTGAGAGGTGAAGTGCATTACAATGGTGTACAAATTTCAGGGAATTATAGACCTCGGAGATAAAATGTGTTAATTCTTACATATTTTGATGAGATGAATTAACAGGTGATAAAGGTGCTGGTTGTTCACACCAGTTGCAGTGCGTTCTGGCCAGAATGCCTTGCATTGTGGCTGCCTCACTTTTTAGTGGGGCAGAAGGGGGCGTGGCGGGCAATTGAAGTGAATGGCACCGTAGCCAGGCCCTCTGACCGCAATGCGATTGCAAGGCACATTGTACCTGGTTCTGGTGCGATCAAAATAGTGAATGCAGCATGTTGATTGACCCCCCCTGCTGCCCCACTAAAAAGTGAGCCGGCTGCAATGCGAGGCAGTGCTTTCTGGCCCAAACGCACCAACTGGTGTGAACGGGCCCTTAATCAGAATAAAAAGTCCATGCCTTTCACACTCCCAATGGTGTGGTGGGACATCACAAATCAGTATCGACTGCTATTTTTGCATGGTTCCCCCAATTGCAAAAGGGATCTCAAGAAAGAAAAATTGGATCGTGGAATATCCAAACATTCCATCCGCACTGTGTCCTGTATCCCATGATGAGGACGCAGACTAGTCGGGGTGCCCATGCTGACCTGTGTCAGTCGCCAAAAGCACCTACAATAGGCACATGAGCATCAGAACTGGAACACAGCAATGGAAGGCGGTGGCTTGGTTCACTGCGAGCAGAAAAAAATGCCGTCTGGCGACGGCAACCCGCGAATGCGACAGTGCCGTCCGTCCGTTTTTCTACTACGGGCGGACGGCAACTGGTTAAATCATGTGGATGGTTGGGTACATGTCTCTTACCTGGGGTAGAGCTGACACCAGGATGCAATGTAAAGATTTGGGGAATGATATGTCTGGAAACCTTGGGTCCTGCCATTCATGTAGATGTTACCACCTACCCATTGCTGGTGACAAAGTACCCCCTTCATGGAAATTGTTTTTCCTGATGGCAGTGGCCTCTCAGCAGGATGTGATCTGTCACACTGAACTCATTGTGTTCCTCAAACCATTCTTCAACCATTTTTGCAAAGTGTTGACTTGGCCTCAATTCTCCAGATCTCAATCCTGTTGAGCATCTGTGGGATGTGCTGGAAAAACAATCCAATCCATGGAGGCCTCACCTCGCTACCTACAGGACTTGAGGGCTAGTTCACACCAAATGCAGTAGTCATGCAGTATGTGCCGTTTTGCAGCTGCATCAAAAACTCATCACAATGCTTTCCTATGGTATTTCTTGTGCTCTGACAGCAGAGCAGTCCATTCTGATGCAGCCAGAAAAAAATACTGTTTGCCCTATTAGCTGCATCAGATCGCACCTGAAATCCCATTTTAACCCAAAAAAGACCAATTGCAGCAAAATTGCAGACACATGCAGTTCTGGTGTGAGCTAGCCCTAAAGGATCTGTTGGTGGAGTCCATGCCTCGATGGGTCAGGGCTGTTTTGGGTAGTAAAAGGGGGACCTACTCAATATTAGGCTGCTAGTCATAATGTTATGGCTGATGCGGTGAACGTTATGGGCCGAATTGGCCACGGTAGCTCTACTCGAAAAAATATTTTGTTGTGTTCATTTCAATAAAAACATTTTTGGCATAAGCGTACATTTTCTTTATTTGTTACAAAATGATACAGTGAACACTTAACTACTGTAATTGCTAGCACTACAGAATATGAAACTGGTTGAGAATTGATGGCAGTAGACCTTTCCTCCTGTCTGCTGTACAATGCATGTGCAGGGAATTTCTTTCTACAATTGACATTGTCCTGTAGGCCAGGATTAATTCGATGGCATGGAGACCCGTAAGCTTGGTTGGGGAAGCTACAGCCATCTGACCTTTAAAAATCTTAAACCTAATCTAACCTAAAAAGCTTACTCTTTAAGGGCCGATTAATTTTCTTGTTTGTATAAAACTTGATCTCTAAAGTTGTGGGTCAGGTTAGTGTCTTTAGGAACCTTATTGTCTCATGGAGGAAAGAAAAGCACTATATTAGTGAGGGCAAGTATTTGGTGTGTTTATAGTCCGCAAATCTCTACCACAAGGTTGGGTAATGTCTGTACTCTAGCTGTGGTGAACCATGTTCCATGGAGGGCATTGCAAGACTTGACAGCCACAGGCATTGCTACCAGATGCATGATGGGGATTTGTAGTTGCTGCACAGCTTGGGTGCTGAGGTTGGCTGCCCTTGCTCTACCTGCTCCCTATAGAGGTGAAGAATTCAGGGAAAGGTCATTAATTTGACTAAAGGATGTGCGTGAGGTGGGATAACTTGTGTAGTTGGTGTCTCATCCATCCTTTTTGTATAACAAGACTTTGGTGAGAAAAGATTGGACTGGTATGAAGGCCAAGTGAGGTGTTTTGGATTTATACAGAGCAGGGATAGTTGTGGGCTGCTCTTCCATCCATATTCTTGCCACAACTGGCACTGGTAGCCATTGGCTGCAGGATAGTTCCCCACTCAAGCCTGATGACATGCAAGTTTCAATCTTTTCATAGGTACAAGTTGAAGGTCTCCACCTGGAACATGAGCTGCAAATAGGCCTCCAGGTATTGGCATGAAAGATCAACCTTTTACTATACTTGTATAATTGATTAGGGAATGGTAGCGGTCAGGTTAGTAAAGAATACTTCTGGGTGTGTAACCCATCCCATTACTATATGGAGAATGAATAAACAATGGTCTACCTAAACTATATGCAAACACTGGTTTATGGCCCTCCTCTCGTGCAGGGTAGCCAAACTCTTGTCCTCCAGCTGTGGTGAATGTACAAGTCCCATCATGCCTGTGGCTGCCAGTTTTGCGAAATCTCATGGGACATGGAGGGCCAAAATTTGGTGACCACTGCTCTAGTGGGAGCTGACAAGCTATGCGGATGCAGCTTCCGTGTGATTACTCTTGAGGTCATACATGTGGGGTCTTGATGTGTGGCTGTCTGCATTAGCCCATTGTACCCAACTAGTCAGACCTACAACTGCATTCTCACACTGGTACATGAGGCAGCCGGATGCCCAAAGTAACTGGCTTCCATACCGCACCATTGGGTGTGAGGCCAAGGTGCTCTATTCATATGCTGAGGCTTACTACAGAAAGGCTACCTCTACTTTTAAAGCAACAATGTAAGTACAACGGAATCAAACCCAAACAGTTTTGCGTTGGAACACTTTACACACACAGAGCTTCTTGTCTTAACAGCAAAATAATTAGAAATAGCTCAAAGCCCAGAAGCTTCTTGTTAGGTTCTGAAGCTGCGAATGCATGTGTTTAAGCGTACGACAGCTGCATGTGTGGACAAAAGGACACCCAAACCTTCATCGGCTGATGTGAAGATGGCTTACCCTAGAAAACCTGCAAGCGTGTGCAGCTGTGCTCCCTGAATGATCACGTCGGTGCGTTTTTGTGAGGCAATCTCACCTATACATTCATCGAGGTTCTTGCACGCGACGCCTCAGAACAGTCATATATGTACATATAAAATTCTAGCTCTGCACAGCGCTCCTGTCGTTTTATACAGAACTGATCTCCTAAACATTCAGATGATGTGGTATGTCTTCTACAGTGAATGTAATATACCGGAAGGTCCGCCTTACAACGGGATGTACAGTTTATTGGTGAACTGTGCAGAATCAGTCTGGTTGTTGAGATTTAGATGTCCTTTTGTTGAACACATCAGATTGCTACCCTCACAGATACAAACACAGACATGCACAGACAGAATGCTCTTCCACAGTATAAGGGGGGTAGGGGGAGCTGTGCTGGGTGGATTCTTCAGTGACCCCCATAGTGGAGAGGCTTGAATGTTCTCAGCAAGTCTTTGTACAGAAGTCGGGGTGGCAGGATCAGGACTTGCAGCATCCCGAGCCTTTGACTTCCTTCTTGACGTAGTCATGGAGTTTAAATTTGGGCTCGTTGGGGAGCTTCATGGACCTGTGTTTTAATTCCCTGTGGGAAGATAAGATTGTGTTTTGTTATATACATAATTATTTTATTATAAATTATATTATTATAAATGGTTAAATAAAAAACCCCCAAACCTGATATTTGCAGGAAAATTCTAACTGAGGGGATGCATATGCTTAGTCCTGTTCTAAATGACCTTCCCATCTGCTCCCTAAATAAATAGTGCTTTAATGTTCTTTCCTGTGTCATCCCCCAAAAGTAAGTAAATGGATAGATACTAAAGACAACTGTTCTCCTGTATATTGTGCAGCCCCACTGGGAACCACCCATGCAAACTCTCCGGGTCCCTTGTTGCTTCTGTGCATGCATGGAGAAAATCCTATTCATTGCTATGAAGAATTTGTCTATGGAACATCCCAATGAGAGATGACCTCTCCATAGGAAAGAAGTAGCAAGGGATCAGCCAAATGTCTTCAGTGGTGGCTGTGCAGCTCTCCATGGGGTGCACAGTCTGGTTCATGCAGGAGCATACACATTGGAGGGGTAACTGTGGGTACTGTGTCTGTATGTATGTATATACCGTGTTTCCCCGAAAATAAGACACTGTCTAATATTTTTTTTGGCTCAAAATAACGCACTAGGTCTTATTTTCGGGGTAGGTCTTATTTTTTTTTAAATGTACAACAATCCACACTTATTACCGGTAGAAGATTTACAAGACAGTGTCAAAGTTAAGAATATGGTGATCAGGGCAATCAGGTGTGTCGTACCTTTCCAAGAGCAATTTGGTAACCATCGCTGGCCAGAATGAGTGAAGCGCGCTTTCACTATTGATTACTCACAGGCGGAGTACATTTGGTATCACTCCGCCTGTGACAGGAGACGGCGCTATAGGGGAAGCATCGGCTTATGCGGCTTTGCTCCCTGCGTTGCCGCCTCGCTTCCTCTAGCGCTGGCTTTGTTGGCCCCGCTGATTCTCTCCTGCGGCTCTTCAAATTCCCCCTTTTGCCACCACCGGCCCAGGGATTGGTCACAACTAGGTCTTATTTTCGGGGTAGGTCTTATATTTTAGCAATTCCCAAAAATAGTACTAGGTCTTATTTTCGGGGTAGGTCTTATTTTCGGGGAAACAGGGTAGTTATATAATGGAACCTGGAAGAGGCAAGATCAGAGGTACAATTGGCAGCAGGCTCTCCTCGTTATCTATATAATTTCTTTTTTTTTCTGTATTAGAGCCAGTAAAGCATAGCAGGCACGATCAGTAGCTCATGGGTGCAATGCTCCGGCTGCTCCTGCAGACTTTTCCTCCTGTCCATGTCGGTACGGACAATCAGTAGCATGGCTATGAGAAAAAATGAATGGGCTACAAGTGAGGTGATGTCACCTCACTTGTGTTCAATTAAAAGCTACAACTCCCTCCGCTGCGGTGGCTTAGGGGACTTGTGGTTTCTCCTTTCACAAATCCTGCGATCTGACTATGTTTCAGGTAACACCCTGGCTATGGGTGTAACATGAAACATGGGGCGATAGGGAAACTTAGCTTTTAGGGCCCATTCACAACAGAACCGTGTGTTAATCACATGGTTCCATGCATACACAACTTTTTTTTCAACTGCACTGCAACGGTTCAGTGCATGCGCTCCTTTTTTTAACCACACCACAATGCATTGAATCACATTTTAGGTGGGAGGTGCATCTGGGGCAATGGTCTCACCCAGGTGACACCATTGGAGGGGTGACACCAAAATGACTGACAGTCACTTTGGTGTCACACTCTCTGAAAAGTTGTGTACTTGGTCAAGGACCGAGAGCCCGACAGCTGCAGGTGTGAGGAGTCCCGTCCTCTGGCTGCCGGCAGGTATCACCAAGATGGCCACGCATGCGTGATGACGTCATGGCGGGGTGTCCCCCGGTACCCGCTCCGGGTGACACCTGGTCTCGGGATGCCCCTGATCTGGGGTGCCATTTAAATGACTGGCAACGCAATGAACAGGCCCTTAATGTTCCCCCAAAAAATCCAGACATGTTGTTATCTAGACATGACAGCATGGTGAAGGGCCACAAAGGGACTGAGCACAGCATCGCAAGAAGCGGATTAATGTCATATCTTTCCCCATATGGGCCAATACAACGTTTCTGAGAAGTGCCGGGGAAGCAGCTTCTTGTGATGTCTGAATCTTTGCCCGGTGAAGTTTGTTACTTTGCCCGGTGAAGCAAGTATAAACTTGGTAGTGCCTCCTCTCACCCAATCATCTTACTTTTACAAGGGAAGCCCACTGAAGAATAAACTTTGCCTGGACTAGATGAAGCAACAAAGTGCATGTTTCCTTTAACTAGCCCAGAGAAGCGTCAAAGCTTTTGATGGAAAGGCTCCGGAATGCAATGAGAGGACCCACAAATATCTCCGCATTTCACTTTGTAGTTATTGAAGGTTTGGTTTAAGTTGAAGGTTCCTCTGGAGTCAGAGATAACATGGGTGGTTTTTATGTTTGTGAAGGTTCTCATTCATCCAGGTCATGGTATTTCTCTTGCCTTGACTTATTTTCTACAGATGTGGATGGTTTTAGGTTCTCCATAAAGCATGGAGGAATAAGCCAGCTTTCCATACATCTGTCATTGTATTGTTGCTCAGACATTGGCATGGCTTTCTAAACATGCCACGTTCACTTTACCGCACTGACATAATAACAAGAACGGAGTACTAATGAATAGCATAAAACAATATTTTCTCGGGGATCACTAAAAGGATATTCTATAAAAAAGGAAAGGAAAGTGTTTCCATGGCAACACCATTCTTTTGTTGTCAACCCTTCATAACAGCTGCAATCTGGTTGGCTCTCAGGGGTCTGCCTGTCCATTTCTATCCGCGTCCATTTCTACTAAAGCCAAGTCAGATTGTTAAATGCCTGGCATATTATGACATGAGTATAACTGTACAAGGAGAATACAGTTCATATGAATGGGAATAGATCTACATCATTTCCTTCCACAGACATTTCTAAACTAGAGACGGACTTACTTTGCAATGGCCATGAACGCCAAGTCCACGTTCAGTCCACTTTTGGCACTTGTCTCCATGAATGGCACACCACATTCCTGCAAGACACAACAAAGTCGCGGCATGATGGACAAGGTCTAACTGTGCACACCTGAACCTTTGCAGCCGGCTGGCTGTTAGACCGGTCCCTGAAGCCTCTTTCCCCTTCACTAAGTTTGCAGTTGGCTTCTAGAAATAATTCATTTGTAACAACAGTAGCCACAAGATGTAAAGTCCTGCACAACTTTAAACACAACTTTCTTTTCAGAGTGTTTCCCAGGAAGCAACTCCCATTTGCCATCGTGCTTCATCCATTAAACCAGCCTTTCTCAACCATGGCGCCTTCCGGCTTCCTTAGGGTGCCTCGAAATATTTGAGCAGCGTCATGCCTATCCATGGTGCAGGAAGACTTCTGATGTAAAGGGGGGTTCTGATGAGGGCTCTTGCTGTAAAGGGGGTTCTGGATGTGAATGGAGGGAGCGCCTGATGTAAAGCGGGGAACTCTGATTTAAAAGGGTTGCTTCTGATGAGAGCTCTAGATATAAAGGGGGCTACTGATGTGAAAGGGGGAGTCTGATGGGAAAGGGGGGGGGGGGGGGGTTCCTGATGTAAATGGGGGAACTCTGATTTAAAAGGGGGGCTTTGATGTAAAGGGAAGGCTATGATATGAAGAGGGGTACTCTTGATGTGAAGGGGGCTCCTAATGTGAAGGGGTACTCTACATTTTAGACTGGGGTGCCTCAAGATTTGATATTCTCTTAAATGGTGCTGTGGCTGAAAAATAATATTGTGAATATGTGCAATAAGCCCTCATTCCCACGGGACTCTTGCATTTGTGCACATTTATGGCCCAGTCACACCATATCCAGTGCGTTACGGTGCGGTTCGCACTTGGAAAGAACTGGATCGCTTACATCAAGCCAGACAGCGTTCTTGGCTGGGAGGCAGCATGGCAGTGCACCGCATATACTCTCCCCCGCCCATGGTGCGATCACCTGCAGCATTTTTTCAGATCGCAATGCACTGGAACGGAGAGCATTCATGTACCATGCTTTCTGGTGCGGGCGGGGGGCGTGCCTGCGGTGCCGTTGACATAAATGGCACCGGCCCGCCCCAGAACGCTGCCCAGTTTGATGTATATGATCCAGTGCGTTCCGGGCACAAACGGCACTGGATATGGTGTGACTGGGCCCTTAGAGAAGAGGCTTTACAGGACTGGTGGCCAGCATGGAGGGAGCCTGCTGGAGCGGGCCTTAAGGTAAGTATTACAGAATATTTCTCTACCCCTAGACTTAATAAGCATTTAGCTCTTGTAGCACAGGGGCCCCACGGCATGGGTAGTTTTTGTGTCAATTCCAGAGCAGATCAATGCAAGCAAGCCACGGTGTGAAGTGCTGCATGACTGTCCATACATTGTCTTCAGAGTGGGTGGTCTGGACTGAAAATACCGCTCATAAAAACATGATACTTTAATTGGTCGCTGCATGGCAGGATCAGGCAGAAGATTCCAGTTTGGTATCTACCATCACCGCCTCTCAGAGGAGATCTACACCTAATCCCTAAAATCCCCCCAAAAAACTTTAACATGTTGATGTAATTCAAACAATTGTTTTCCATCTTTTTTAAATCTGCAGCTTTCGTTAAAAAGAACTCTGGATTCTGCCATGAAGCTCCTTGTTAAGTCACTTCCTGTTATGGGGTGACAACTGTTTCCCAGCTCTGCCTTGTCACCCAGCCACATGCACCCCTGTTGGGGCTACAAGGGGTCATGCCCTTGTCACCATCAGGAAGCTGCTCCACGGCAATGATATGCAGCCAACGCAGGAGCGAGTGCTTGTAGAGAAGTGGCTGAGAGGCTGGAGGAAATTAGCAGTACTGAGATGGAAAAAAAACAATTGAAAAACAGTATTTTATGGACAAAACATGACAATTGTTTATGATACACAATGCTGTGCCAACCAAGCTAGGATTAGAAGGTAGTATATACCCAACTCACCTTTGCCAGCCGCGCTCCATCTTCCATCTTGACGACCCGCTCATGCGTGGAGTCCACCTAAAGGGAGACGAGATCACAATTTTAAACGGCGGCTGTGACAGGACAGCTTGGCTCGGAGCTATAAGATGAATTCTGATGCTGGGACTTACACACCCCGATGCACCAAGCACTGCAAGAAAAGAATTGTTCTCTGGACCAGAATTGAGATGTACAAGTCGGAATTACGTCGGGGCCCCAGTGAGGAGTGTGAACACATGTTTTATGCATTGAGAGCTTTCAAGTAAATGATTAATATTTAACAAGAGCTAAAAGTCTTTTCGGCACCAGGCTGGCAAACCTATTACACAATGTATTACCGTTTAACCCTTCACTGGATAACCGCAAACTGACTTTGGCTTTCCTATAAGACTGACTCCACTGTTCTGATCGATCCGATATTGCGCGGCCAGGGACGGCGAAATGAATTATAATGATAAACTCCAGTCAGCTGTACAATAACAAGGCAGTGTCCCTCTCCTGCGGAACACTGCAATGGTAATGGCTGGTATTGTATATGCGGAAAGGGGACAGCCTCACACCAAGGGTAAGTATTTCTTTACCTGGAGTTCTTCTTTAAGCTGGCTATACAATGGGCGATTTTTGCTCAGCAAATGGTCCTGTTTGCCACCTCCTACCTGACGTTCTATATTGAAGAATCACAGGAGTTCAGCTATAAATGCTACTTGTTCTTTTATTTTTGTACAGGCTCTTCATGTAGCCATTGTGCCCAATAAGAAATGCTCCTATTCCACATGGGGTGTGTCCATTGCACCATCTACAGTTATCAACAGGTAATTGTAAATGATTAATAAGAGATGCTTCCCTGGACACAACATTTCATGTATGTACAGTACACACTTCCCCACACCTTTTATGGTGTAGAAATAAACCCCCTGGTGAGTTTTTATTAGCCATCTGAGTACCCGCTGGCCACACAGGCTGCAAAAGTCACAACCTGCCCTTACCTTTACTAGAGTGAAGTTTGATCGGATCATTTCCCAAGACTGTAGTCTAGTTTGGTGCCATTTATACCCTGAAAGTTGGACTTCAAATGCATGAACGGCAAATACAAATGTGTGTGTATTAGCTAAAAGGGTAAAGCGGATGGGGATAGGCACATATAAGGTTTGTTAACGAAATGGGATTTTTGGGGGATTTTTTTTACTTGGGTATTATGAAGAGTAGGAACACAATATATATAGGGAGGGAGGAGGGTAGATTAGAGGACTAAGGGAAGCAACACAAATAATTGGAGCATTTGTCTACAAGACATCTTAGGTGAACACATAAAGAGTGCACATAAAAGAAGAGTAGAGTGAATATTACAGAGGAGGTGGACGGAGAGACATAGAGTTTGGATTATGGGGTGGGAAACAACACTAGAGGTGTACAAAACGCTGACTTCTTCCCTATCCTCCAGAGGAAGATTCGAATGGTGGGATTGAATGAGAGAAGTGAGTGGAGGTAGATTTGGTAGAAATTGTATGGTAGCGAAAGGGAAGAAACAAAAATCAAAGGATGTCTGAAAAAGAGTTGATGATCTTCCAATTAGAGATAAATACAAATTTAAGCTATTTGAGAGATGGAAGTATTATATATATATATATTAATGTACTATGTAAATTGTATTGTATTTAAGTGAAATAATAATAATAAATATATATTAAAACAAGAAAAATAAATAAATAAAAATGTGTGAAATCCCCCGGGCTTGTTCTAGTGCCTGGTCAGGTGACCAGAAGTAATAAGGCAATGGTCACATGGTCTATAGCAAAGGGGAAGAGATGCAAATCCCGATGCCGCGGTGCTGGCCACATGAGCTGCCGCCAGAGGTAGACCCGGAGTAGCGGTCAGTGCGGGGACCTTCCCTTGCCACGTACCATTGATGTATAGCCAGAGGTGGCGGGTTAAATTCTCTTTCATATTTTCCTCACCTTGTTCCCAAGAAGCATAATGACCACATCTTTCTGGGCGTACTCATAGATCTCAGTCAGCCAGGCCTGTAAGAAAACATTCAGTTAATGAAATCCTAGAACACTTGTCCACTTCCTGAACCCAAAAATAGCCAACATGTTTCCAAAATCTGGTATGAAATATAGTAGTAAAGAACAAAAATGGAGCATGTGCCAGCAGCCATGTGTGTCTCAAAGTCATGGAAGAAATACAGGAGATGCCACTGCTGACTGGCCGCCTTCGGCTTTGTAGTAACTTTGTCACTTAACAAAAGGAATCAAATAGCAGGATTGAGATCTGAAGCGCCCCAATCCATTTCATACTCCAGATACATCCTTATTTTATATGGGGTTGAGGGGACAGTATAGAGCAGGGGTAGGCAAACTTCAGCCCCTCCAGCTGTGCTGAAACCACAAATCCCATCATGCATCTGTCTCTGGTGTACATGAGGCATTGCAAAACTCTGGCCGCTACAAGTCATGCTTGTAGCGGCCAGAGTCTTGCAATGCCTCATGGAACTTGTAGTTTCTGCACAAACAGAGGGTCAATGTTTGACTATGCTTGGTATAGAGCAGGGGTAGCTACACTACAAACATGCATCTGCCTTTGGGAGCCATGCATGTAGCGGCCAGAGTCTTGCAATGACTCATGGGATTTGTAGTTTCACCACAGCCATATGGCCGAAGTTTGCCAACCTTTGGTATAGAAGAAATCAAAAGACCAGCTCCTGCAAATAGAAGACTCTAAATACTTACCTCTCCAGTGGACGTTGAGTCCTGACTGCGCTGTCCTAAATGGCTGCAGCCTCTGACTGACACTTCAGCACTCATTTCCTCTTATTTAGAGAAAAGGAGAGGTGTTCTATAGTCCTGCCCTAGGGTGACAACACTGCTCCTCTATAGATACAGTACAATGAGTGAGCGTTGTCACCCTGGACAGGAAATGTGCTACTGGCAGGATCACAATCTGAAAAAAGGAAAACTAATGCAGCCGCAATATCTAAGGGCTGGTAAACTGCAATATATTACACTGTTTGCTTTAAGAAGCCAGCCTGTAAGACTACTGCTCTGAGAAAGTCAACATTCTATGGATAAAATAGACGCTTTACTGTAAGTGTATCCCTTCTTTGAAGACTCCATGAGATCTCGCACTCATCTCAAGGCGCTGAAACATTCTATCACCAGCCTGTGGCGGTGTCCCTGCACCTTGTTAGTATTGTATAACAACCAACGCACTGCAAGAACAAGAAGGTGGCGATGGGTCTGAACAATGGCGCTGCAATGCCACAACCTTCCACTAGATGGCAATCATGATCCAGTAAACAGGAACAAAACTTTTTTGAACGAAGTTTTCTAATTTCTATAAAGTAGATGTTTTTTATTTTCCTGACAGCACTCTGCTTCCATTTAGTGGTTTTGAAAGTGATTGTCATTCAGTCTCAGGGACCGGTGTACTGTCACTGAATAATAAGCTTTTCAAATGATTAATGCTTTACAAAGAGGAAAAAAAAAAACCCCTTCCATTTATCTCAGGCTGTTAGCAGTAGCAATGTACAGTAGTAGATGATCAACTGTCATGAGCCAATCAGCCGAGTCAATCAATCAGTGACATTAAGAGCAAACTGTGTGACTTCAGTTTATGGAGATGAACAACAACAAAAGACTGGGGGGGCGGG